TCACCCAAACGCAGCCCCCCCCCCCCCCCCCCCCCACACCATCAGCCCAGCTTCCGCTCACTCCGAAACCCTATCGTACGCCCAAATCCTCGCGTTGAAATCGCCGCTGCCCGTAGCTAGCAGGTTGCCAGCCGGCGACAAGTTGATAGCAATGACGCTGTTCTTGTGACCAGATAGCACAAACTGCGCTTGACCAGATCTGGGATCCCAAAATTGCACGCCACGGTCTTTGGAGCCGGATGCAACCCAGTGGCCGTCGGGTGAGCATGACACGGAGAGGACATAGTCCTGCAAGGTTGGGGCGGGTCGACGCGAGCGAGCGATCATCAGCATCTGCAGCAGCGCTAAATGCAGCGCCTGGAGACGTACCTTGTGACCGAGCAAAGTGGATGCGCAGGTAGCCTTCGAAGTGCGATCTTCATCGTCTGTAGAGTGGCTCTCCACAGCCCTTGCAGTAGCAGTGAGGTCCCAAATTTTGAGTGTCCTATCCAAAGAGCCGCTGACCAAGCTCTTGCCATCGGGAGCGAAAGCAACACTGTAAATGCTATCCTTGTGTCCCTTGAGCTTCTCCAGCTGTTGGCCCGTCTTGGCGTCCCACACCCTGACCAGCGTGTCGAGCGCTCCAGCGGCTACGAGCCGGTTGTCCGCACTGATGCTGACGCTCGTCACGCCCGCCTCGCTGGGACCATGCTCCAAGTTGGGGCTCGTGTACAGCACGTGCAGGCACTTTCCGCTTCCCACGTCCCAAATGCGCACGCTCTTGTCTCCAGATCCACTGGCAATGATTCGTCCGTCCCTGCTAAAGTCGAGGCTGTAGATTTCTTGCTTGTGCCCCGCAAAGACGTGCTTCACCTTCTTCTTTGCAATGTCCCATATCCTGATCTGCCGATCTTCTGCTCCAGTCGCCAAGAATTGACCGTCCGGAGAAAAGCACACCGATCGAATGTACAAGTCGCCCCGTTTGTTCGTCTGCTCCGTTAGGACGCAAGTCTTGGCACCGGTCTTGGTGTCGTAGATCTGAGCGCTGCGGTTGCAACCAGTCGCCAAATACTTTCCATCAGGCGAGAAGCGAACGCAGCATACAACGCTGCCGTTCGTCAAGACCGGATCGGGGGTTGTCAACGTGAGCAGACCGAAGGGCAGTAGTGGATCGCGCTTTATCGTCACTCACCTTTCGTGCATAAGCGTGTGTACTAGATTCACATCCAGCATACGCTTCACTTTGGGATTGAAGATGGCCATCCAATCGCTGCCTTCCTTTTTCAGATCCTTGGGAATCTCATCAGGATCCATCTCGCTCAGGTTAGCGAGACTGGCGTTGCCAGCAGCTGGACCCGGGCCAGGACTTTGCGCGTCTCGCGAAGGCGGATACGCGCCCGAGGGCATGTGTGATGGAGGCCCAGGGTGATAAGGCGATGGCGCTGAGCTACCTGCAAGACGTCAATACCACCGAAGGTCGAGAGTCAGAGGTCGGAAAAGGGTCAGCCCAAAGAGTGATCTTCATTGCTCACCTTTGCCATAGGATGCGCCTGCTGGAGGCGGTGCGATGCTAGCAGGACCAGAAGGAGGGGCAGTAGGAAGATGCGGCGGCGGCCCGCCAGCACCTCCAAGAGGCGCAGGAGGAGGTCCGCCCCTCTCGCCGCCTGCGGGTAGGGGTCCGGATCCGTCGGGCGCCCCTCCTCGCGCGTCCAGCAGCGCGCGCAACCTCTTGATCTCCTCCTCATACCTGCCCAGGCGAGCCGCAGAGGGAAGCTTGAGGTGAGTCGGTGAACGCCATCGAGAGTGTTAGCCATCACTTACTGCTGTGCCATGGAGCTATGCCTGTTTTCAAGATCCATTATGTGTTGCTGCATGACTTGCACCTCAGAAATTTGTGCAGATACTAAGAGGGGGGAATGTGTGCATGTATAGTCAGCGCGGGGTAGCCTACGCTGCATCTCCTGAATCCAGAGCACAGCCCTTCGTCGTCACCGTGCACCACTTTTGCTCAGAGCACTTACGCCTGTGTTCAAACTCGTCGCGCTGGTTCTTGAATTGCGTCGCATCATTCCCAATCACTTCGAACTCGTGCTTGACAAAGTCCAGCAAGTCGTTCAATCTGGCGGTGGATGCGCTGGGCGGCGCTGCTGCAGGTGGCCCACCGGTAGCCGCTGGCACCAAGCTTCGATGATTGTAGATGTTGGACATGGTGAACGTAGCACCTGGATGCTAGGCCTGGTGCTATACGCAGGGATGGAACGCGGTATCTCGAAGACCGCGAGACCAGACTTTGTGCGCTCGAGCGATTGCCTCGAAGCTCGTCGAGTATGGATGGAGCGCGCGTGATGAGCGAGACCCGACGCGCGCTCGACTGGGATGCTCGTCTCTCTCTCGAGCCCGATGGCCGTGCGGAACGAGCTTCAAGTCCTTTCCTCGACGAAAATTGTAAGCAGTGATATGCTGCGCGAGATGCTGCTTGGAGCTGCGTATCGAGTGACTGCACCCTGCCCGAGCAGCCACAAAGCCAGGCAAGGCCTGAAAAGCGCAGAAGTTCTAGCTTGCGAAGTTGTCAAGGAGGCAGTAGTTGATGTTTAGCCAGAGGGCGGAGACCAAATGGTTTCAGCGCTCGCGTGACGATGTGGAAGAAGCGCAATCACAATCGGCGTGATGCGATGCGACGGGACGGGATGCGAAGCGAATGAGTGTCAAGATGTGGTCGACGAGGAGTGGATGCAGGGTGGGTGAGCAGCCGTAGCAGCGAGAAAGTGTCAAAATGAAAGTCACGAGTCACGAGTCACGAGTCAGACAGAGCTTGCTGGAAGCGACCGCGCGAGATTCGATTGCGGTCCCTGCGCTGCTGCTGCTGCTGGTTGCAGCAGAAGCCCGGGTGCGATCGCGCATGCTGCAATGGTGAATGCTGGCCGCCGTGGCGGCGCGGCGCGGCGCGCGCACGCGCGCGCGCGTAGACTCGAATCAAATCAAATGGTGAATCAAGCACGCGCACGAAATGAATGTGAATCAGCGGGTATCGAATCGCGTGTGCGCGCGTGCGTTCGTGCGTGCGGGCGCAAAAGATCGCCTCTTGCCTCGCGCCACACGCGCGCAGGCATCGCACGTACTGTACGTGCCTCTGCTGCAGTCAAAAGTGCATGCTGGGGAATTGCATGATGCAGGATTCATTCACGTCGCTGCGCAAATCAAAAGGCAAGCGCGGCCATCAGAGCATATGCTGCTGATGCTCATGCTCATGCACCGCGTTTGGGCTCACGCGTCGCGGAAGGTCCAGGGCGTCGTACCATACGCGGTACCTGCTATGCCGCCGCTGCATCCGAATCACTAATTAAGGCCGCCCGTGGCGTGGGGGAATGAGACGCATACAACATCGTGCATGTATACACGTACTTTTGACCGCTTCGCTCGATCCAGCCCCCGTCGCGCTCTTCCTCCTGCTGTTCCATGAAACGCAAGATGTCGCTCGGTCTCGGTATACGTATGTACGTGCTGTGGCTGCAGAGCTGCCCTTCCCCTCATATCCCGCCTCGCTGCATCGAAGGCAAGGGCCGATGGCATCATGTGCATTCGCATGCAAATTGTCGTTGATGATGTACCCACATGCACATACAAGTAGTTGGAGTAGTCTACAGCATTTTGATTTATAGTCGCGACTCGAGTCGTGAGTGTCCCTATATATACACGCGCGGTCTTGGCCGAGACCCACGCGTCAAACCGCGATCAGCTGGGAGCCGCTCATCCTGCTACTACTGGTGACTGATGAACCCCATGCTAGCCCGACCCGACCGAGCCCCGCAGCCAGCACGCGCGGGTGGCCCCTGTGCGCACTTCGTAAGGTCGAATCATGCATGCAGCAGGGAATCGTTCTGCCCGCCCGACCGCGGTAGCCGAGCTTCACGACTTTCCCCTCGCCTACGCGCTGCTTGCTGGAAGTTGCACGGACGTGCGCCGGCACGTTGCCGCTCACACGACAACGTCCAGGCCATGAAGAGTCGCAGGCATTCAGATTGATCCGCGAAGCATCGTCGCGGAGCATCGTCCTTCACAGTCCAAAGTCATGATCAAACCAGCCCATCGCGTCACTTGAGCTTTCGTGACACTGTGTCTCGGTGGTCTACGTGCACAATCGAACTAAAGGCAGCCTGTGCGGGTGTCATTCAAGAGTCCGAAGAGTCACGAGCGTTTGGCGTCTGTCTGGTCGTCATCTCAAAGGCGAAGCGTTGATGAGTGCGTACTTGCCGTATCGACAATCTCGGCCGCAGCCACCCATGAGTCTAACAATCAGTGGCAAGCACTCCAACACCGCGAAATATGTGAACTTCCCGTAAGCCGGATGTGAAGGTTGAGCCGGTAGAGTCAAAAGTCCTGGGTCAGTCAAGCGTATGAATGAGGGGTCATGAAGGCAAGAAGCAAAAGCCGCGCAGCACTCAACGATTCGAGAATCACTTGAAGCTCGAATCACGTGATTTATGCTGCAGCTCCATCGATAGAATGCGCCCGTGCCACGCATCAGCCCGCGGCCAGCCTTCCAGCATGGCAGGCGCGTGCGCAGGCATGGCATGGCGTCGGTTTGCGCGCGGTGTCGCACGAACGCCCAACGCTCGATCGCTGCTGTTGGTGCGCAAGGCAGAACGAAGACGCAGCGCAACGCATGCCCGCGCCCTCCAAAGCAGCGATGGCCAGCGCTGCTGACCTTCGCGCTCATTATCTTCTCACTCACACTCGTCGGTCACGATCGAGTTGACGTCTGTGTCCTCACCCACCAAGCAGCCGCCCCATACCCGCCGGAGCATCATAATAGCTAGCAGACTCACGAAAACGCTCAGCAGCGCAACCAACACGGATCACCACCCGCGGCTCCTCGGTCCACCTCGAGAAGCAAAGCAAGTACTGCATTCTTTCTCGAGTCGCGAGCATACAACGTACTCGCACTGCGCAGCTCAAAGCCTCTCTCCGTTTGGTCGTAGCACTAATCTTGCTCTTGAGACCTGCAATCGCCGTACATAGCGTCCACCCGACATGTCTGGAGCTCCGCCTGTCTTGCCCCCAGGGTGGACGGCGCAATGGTGAGTGCATGGTTTGAGCTGGATTAGGAGGGCAGCCTTTCCCTAGGACAGGCGGAGGTCAGGCGTTCGCTAGGATAGGCGGAGCTCAGGCTCAGCACTAGCTTCACTGGAACGGCATGCGTGGACCTCCTCGATCAGTGAAGATTGCCGCGTGAAGCTGGCTACACTCTCTCGATCCATTTGGAAGACACGGCTCCAGCACAACGAGCCTATCTGAGGATCAAGCTGACCTCCCATTCCCGCAATCCATCCCTTATGCCTTGCCCCCCTCCTCCCCCGTGCTGTACCAACGCAGGGATCAGAGTGCCGGCCGCAATGTGTACATAGGTCAGTGGGTCGGCACTCGCGAGCGACGAGCTGCTCCGACAAGAAGCTGAATCCATGAAAATCCTCTCTTCTCCCGCAGAGAGCGCTACGGGACGCACATCTTGGACGCCGCCCAACGCCGGCATGCCAGGCGCTAGACCGACGCATCCTCAAGGCCAAGCTCGCATGAGTCTGCCGCCCATGCAAGGGCCTCCCTCCATGAGAGGCCCATCCGGATTGGGTGGTCCTCCGACCACCGGTACGCCGCTTGGCGCTCCTCCCGGTCCCGGCGGTCCTCCAACCTCACCAGGCGGTGGTGCTGGCGCAGCGGCAGTGCCTGGCGCATCCAGACGAAGAGCATATCCCACTGCTCACCTGGCAGCTAACAGCGTTTCCTTTTCGGGTGGATTCGACCCGGGTGCGGGAGGTGGTGCTGGCTATCCCGGTCACATCCCTCAGGACACTCAGCAGTCTCAACTGTTCACGCCTGGCGCTCCTGAGCCTCAAACGCAGCTGTCTGGAGCCAGCCCTGGCGTCCCTTCGACGGCTTCTCCTTATGGCCAGCCTGCTGCTTACCCCGGCCAACAGGCACCCAATGGTCATGCGCAGCAGCCCTATCCAGGTCAGCAAGGAGTGTCCGGGCTCGCCAACCAGTTCCAACACATGGGCATCGGCAGCCAGGTCGGAGCTAGAGGGGTAAGTCAACGGTCATTCTGCGGAGCATACGCGCGCTAGTGCTCGCTGACTCGTGCAACCCTGCGCAGAATCCGCTGCTCACTGTAAATCTGTCAGGCGTAAATCCGGTCGTCACTGACCTGAACAGACCCCCGCCAGAGATCAAGCTGCCGCCAGGGGCCAGCGTCTCGCAGAATCCCCTCGCAAATGCGGATCCGTCGTACCAGCGATGCACACTGAACGCGGTGCCAACCACATCGGCGCTCCTGAACAAGTCCAAAATTCCCTTTGGATTGGTCTTGTCCCCTTACAGATCTGTCAGGGAAGCAGATGGAGATCAGCCTGTGCCAGTGGTTAGCGACACTGTTATTGCGCGTTGCAGACGCTGCCGCACCTACATCAACCCCTACGTGACGTTCATCGAGGGCGGCAACCGGTGGAAATGCTGCATGTGCAACATCTCCAACGAGGTGCCTAACCTTTTCGACTGGGATCAGGAAACGAATCAGCCTGCTGACAGATACCAGCGCCCAGAGCTCAACCACTCCGTCGTCGAATTCATCGCCCCCCGAGAATACATGGTGAGTCCCTCATCGAGTAAGGTCCGTTTTGGATGCGCATACAGCCAGTTTGACACACGATGCACCCCCAACGGCAAACGCTTTGCAGGTTCGACCGCCACAACCTCCTGTCTATGTCTTCTTGATTGACGTCAGTCAAGTTGGCGTGAATAGCGGAATGGTGTCCGTAGCTGCAAAGACCATCCTCGAGACATTGGATCGCTTGCCCAATGATGACAACCGGGCAAAGATCTCCATCATCGCTGTCGACACCGCCTTGCACTTTTTCTGCTTACCAGTGGGCCAGACTGAGCCGGAAATGCTCGTTGTGAGCGACCTGGACGACGTGTTCCTGCCCAAGCCAAACGACATACTGGTCAATTTGACAGAGTGCAGAGCTGGCGTCGAAGCTCTTTTGCAAAGATTACCCGACATGTTCAAAGATACGCTTGTTCATGGATCCGCCCTCGGCGCGAGCTTGCAAGCCGCGTACAAGCTCGTTTCTGCAATCGGAGGAAAGATCATGGTACTGACAGCCAGCTTGCCTACTGTCGGGCCTGGCGCACTAAAGAACAGAGAAGACATCAAGCTGCTCGGCACCTCGAAGGAAAGCACCTTGCTCAATGCTGCTTCCACCTTTTACAAGACCTTCCCAATCGACTGCTCTAGGTCTCAAGTCAGCGTCGACATGTTCCTCTTTGCTCAGAGCTACACCGACGTGGCCACGCTCGCGTGCCTGCCTCGCTACACTGGAGGTCAAACGTACTTTTATCCCGCTTTCCATGCTGGGAGAGCCGAAGATGCAGCCAAATTTGCCCACGAGTTTGGAGAGGTCTTGGCCAGTCCCATTTCTTTCGAAGCTGTCCTGCGACTCCGCGCAACCAAGGGAGTCAGAGCTGTTGGATTCCATGGCAACTTTTTCGTTCGCTCTACGGACTTACTCGCACTGCCGGCTGTCCCGTTGGACCAGAGCTACGCCATCGAATGCGAAATCGAGGAGACGATCAACGCGCCGTTCATTGTCTTGCAGAGCGTCGTCCTGCACAGCACCAGCTACGGCGAAAGACGCATCCGAGTGGTCAACTTGGCGCTACCGACTACTACAAGCTTGTCGGAAGTATACGCTGGCGTGGATCAAGTAGCAGTGGCCGTGCTGCTGGCAAACAAGGCAGTGGAACGCAGCATCCACCACAGACTGGAAGATGCGAGAGACGCTTTGTCGAACAAGATGGTGGATATTCTGCAGACCTACAAGGCGACGATGACGAGTGCCGGATCGGGCGCTAGTCCTCAACTGGCCATCGCGTCCAATATGGCCTTACTGCCCTTGCTCATTCTTTCCCTCCTGAAACACGTCGGAATCAGGGCCAGTTCTCAGATTCCGTCCGATCTGAGAGCGTATGCGCAAGCCCTGCTCACAACGCTACCGGCTCAGCTCTTGATCCCGTACATACATCCAGACTTTTACTGCTTGCACAACATGCCACCTGAAGCCGGCACGAACAGGTCGGAAAATGGCAGGGAAGCAGTCATCTTCCCCGCCAAGCTCAACCTCTCTTCGGAAAGGCTCGAGAGGCATGGGCTGTACATGATCGATGCTGGGCCGGAAGGTGTTATGCTTTGGCTCGGAAGAGATGCTGTGCCGCAGCTCTGCATCGATGTGTTCGGAGCGGACAATTATCAGTCGGTTCGAGGTGGAAAGGTGAGTCGGCAAGATGTCCTCGGCCTGATCCTGGCACCTCTAACACGCCTCTTCTCATGCTTGAAAGACGACGCTGCCGGTGCTAGAAAACGCAATGAACAAGCGCGTGCGGACATTGGTGGATCGTGTCAGGGTGTCGCGCAGAGGACCTTACTTGCCGCACGTCTTTATCGTCAAGGAAGACGGAGAGCCGGCTCTGAGACTCTACGCCCTTTCCATGCTGGTGCAGGACAGGTTTGAACAGAGCCCGAGCTATGTTCAGTGGCTCGGCACGCTCCGGGACAAGGTGAATGGCGCATCTTAGGTGAACAAGGTTCAAGAGCAACCCATCTTTGCCCGCCTGCGCCTTGTTTAACCTACTCATCAATGGACTGAATCTGGTCTCGGCAAAGCCGTTGGCCGTGGCTTCATTTCGATTCGAGTGATGAGCCTTGAATCGCTGCCCAGTGCACCCACACCTTATCGGTCGAGCGCCGAGTGATGCACTCGGCGACAGAGGCCGCTCACACCACAATTCAATCGCTCCCCTACCTTTTGCCACGTCTTCTTTTCTTTAAAATCCCACAACGCTTGGTACAGACGAATCCAAAATGCGACGTTGACCACGATGCTAGAGTGGCGGTGTTGTGTGTGCCGCAGCTGCGGTGTGTCCATCTGGAGCTGGATGGAGATGCTGATGAGTGCTTTCCTCGCTTCGGGTTGACGACGCGCGATCAATAGGTGCCTGATCGCTCCACGCCCAACGCAAAGGCGCCAGACCTTGACCGCACCCTAGTCAAGGTAGCGAGCTGACCGATGGGTCTGTGCGTAGAAAGCCAGGACCCTCCGCTTCCTGACTTGGATCGATGACTTCCATTCAGGATGCACGACTTTTGACCGTGCGTTGGCTAGGCGGTCATGTTGGTGTGGGCTCGCTCAAGCCAAGCCAAGTCGAGAGTCGCGCTCGCATGCGTCCTGCGACGAAGACTCATGCATGCATGCGTGTGCGCGCGTGGACCCTTGCGTGATGGTGACGTGCAGGACGCTTCGATGGAGCGCACGCGACTTTGACCAACAAGACGCTCCCCGTGCTCCCTCCTGTCCGGCTTACGCAATGTCAGATGGTGACGTAACCACCCACGGGACGTAATTCGTGATGTCTAAGCTGATACATGTTCACATTCGTGGTTGAGCGGGGCCACAGGTACGCTTAGCTGAGCAGATGTTCAGATGCGTAAATCGCGGAGCTAGAAGTTGTAACGCTGCACAGTCTGGGTAGGTTCCCTGAGATGTTGAGAAGCGTCATTCGCGCATGTGGGGCTGTGCGGTGGTACGGATTCACGACTTTGGATGTTTGCTGTTAACGGAAATGTGGAGTCTCTGCGTGCGTGAGGGTCCACCGCGGATCGGAGCAGTCACGGGCATATAAAGAGGTACTCTGACTCGTACTAAATGTGCCCGTCATTTTTCGACTTATCGTGCCGCTCTCACAACCCTCCCGAGCGCTCAATCACAACTTTGGTGTCTCACCTCGCGAAGCATCGCCCACCTCGGATTTACAAACACCCCACCTATTCTGTCAACAAGATGACCAAGGCGCCTCAAGATCTCAAAGAGGGCGATGAAGTCTCGTAAGTTCTCAGCTCCACGCTTGCCCTTTCGCAGCCCTTCGTTGCTCGTCCTCACAACCTTGAACCGCCTGCTCGCTCCATTCGCGCGTGCGCGTGCGCGATACTGACTTTGCAGCTGGAAGTGGGGCCAAGGACATCCAAAGGGAGAGGTCAAGGAGGTTGTTGAAGGAGAGGCTACGGCCACTTCCAAGAGGGGCAACGAAATCAAGAAGAAGGGAGATGAGGAGAACCCTGCCGTGGTCATCCACGTGAGTCGGTCTGTCTGATCGGCTTTGCTTCTGTGCTCCACGTGCGCGCATGAGGGAAGAAGGAGGAGGAGGAGGAGGAGGAGGAAGAAGAAGAGAAGTAGAAATGCTGCTTGTTACCGAACGCAAGGCTCGCAAGGGACTACCAGCAAAGCGGATCGCAGCTCGCGCTGACATCGCTCCCCTTTGCGCGCTCTCGCACGCAGACCAACTCCGGCTCAGACGGAGTCAAGCTGGCCAGCGAGCTGGATGGCGTCAAGCCTTGAGCTGAAGCCTACCCAACAATCTCTCTCTGCTGCGGAGGCAGCTTTTGAGCATGGCTTGCAATCAAGCAAATCCAGTGGTACTGTACATTGCATCCAAGAGTAATATACATGTAGTCACACTTGACAGCACAGAGCAGTGCACTGCTGCAGAGTACAAGACGACTGATGCGAGCCTGCTTGATAGCAATTACACGTTCAAGTTGAAGGAGAGAAGTAGGCAAGCAATAGGTGTCCAAGCTCACACCCTCCCGCCTCACTTTCCCTTGGCAAAAAAGCTCTCCAATTTCCTCCTCTTCGTCTTCTTCTTTCTTTGGTCTTGTGCATCGGAAGGTTGCGCATTCTTTGCATTACCGGAGCGCGCATCTCCAAATTGTTCAGCAAGCTTCGTGGCGTAGTGAAAGTCCGAGTGATCCTGAATGCGATTGTGGAAGCTCTGCATGATTTCCTCTTCCATGTCGGGCGTTGTCAAGCATGCGCTCTGGTTCCCGGTTTTGTTGGATGGGTTTGACTGCCCTAAGCTTTGAAGTCCTTCTCTTTCTCCTTCTTCGTCCGAGGCTAGAAAGTCTGCTTCGGCGTCCTGAGCCCCGTCTTGTCTAGCGAGGAGTGCGCGCGCACTACCGGAAGGATCGTCCCCAGGCCGAGACTGCACAAGCCGAAGCTCATCCGTCCAGCTCAGCATCTGTCCACACTCTTCGCACTTCCATTCGCGCCTCGCCTGGACTGGCGCAGACGAACCCTCGTCGGGCAAGTCGAGGTCATCCAGCAACAGATCTTCTTCCAGCTTGAGCGCCCCTCTCGAGCTCGAGCTGGGAGCGACGGACGACGAGGAGAGCGCAGCCTGCTGATTTTCGGCAGGCGATGCGAGTTGACCAAAGAGCTTTGCTATTCCTTTGTGATTGCCGCTCTGCCTGGCCTGCTCGGCACTGTCAGGCCTCGATGTGTACGCTTGCCCACTCGCGCCATTTCCGAATTTTCTCGATCCGGGCGAGCCTTCGGTAGCGCGGCCGCTCGAATTCGAATTCGAATTCGAGTTCGCGCTTGTGCTAGTGTCGGCGCCAAGAAAAGCTTCGATTCCCCTCTGTCCACTTTCCAGCTTTTCGAGTCCGCTGAATTGCAGACTGATGTTGATGATGGGTTTGGAATTGTCCGCCTGCACGCCCGTCGCAGATCCCGCTCTGGCGAGCCTTTCCCCCATGGCTTCTCGCCATAGGTCCTTTGCGCGTCCAAAGATGTACGCCGAGCCAGCCGAATACTGCACTTGCGACATCCTGTCGTTCGTAGCTTTTTCCTTCTCCGAGTCTGGGATCACAGCTTCGGAAGCGGATGCCAAGCCTCTCGCTCCACCAAGAGTTGGTGCACCGGCAAAATCCTTCGAGTATGGAAATCGCGCCTGCCTGCTCTGGGGTCTGCCTCCTGCTACCAACCACCTCACAGTCAGCGTCTTGGGCCACAGACCTTCGCTCTCTTGTCTGGCAGTGTTCAAGCGGACGCCCAGTTCCGTAGAGAGGATTTCTAGCCAGTGGTATGCTTCTTCCATCTTGCGTATGGGAGGTCGTACCGCTTTCGCAGCCAGCATAGATTTGGTAGAGATACGATCCACGATTGGCGCGTGGTCTATGCCTCGCAGAACCTTTTTTCCGCAGCGCAAGGCCCAGTCGATCAATGAGCAACTAGGTCATGGCAGAACACCGTGCGCGTGATGCGTCACTCACATTCCACACCCAGTCGCTCTCCTCTCCAAATCGAGCCCTCATCTCGTCCTTGCCAATGTGCCAGAGTCCCCCCACGGTGGAGTTGCCCCACTCTTCGGCCATCGCGCTGCCTAGCTGACCTCCCAAGAAGCGAATCCTAGTAGCGGAATGTGAGCGCTACAGATCAGCCGCCTGCTCAGCAAGGGCGAGCAACCCGATTCACATGCCTGGACTCACTTTTGAAAGGGCAGATCTTGCAGAAAGCCGGGCACGGCGGCGGGCAGCATGGTAGTCTGCATGTTGGGTTTGTGCATGGAAGAGCAGAGCTGGTATAGACAAACAAGTCACCTTTCAGTGAGTCCTGGAGGTATCCCGTGCCTCACTGCCCACCGCAGCGGCTCACCTTTGCCAACGTCTTGTTGCTGGCGATCCCTGCGCTCGTCGTGTATCCCAGCGTTTCCCGAACGCGCGCGCGCACATCGCTCATGATGCCAGCTCCGAACCATAATGCCACGTCCGTCCAGCTGCACTGTCTCTCCTCCGATGTCGTCGATACCGCTTGTATGCTCATGTCGTCACCGACTGGACCAGAGACGGGCTTCGCCGGTACCACCTCTCCGCGCTCTCCGCCCCATGCGAGGATATTGGGCACGGGCAGAGGCAGTGGAGCATCCAGAGGGTTTGGATGGTCGGACGTGAGCGGAGGGTTGGACAAGTGAGGATGAGCCTGCAAGATGGCCCGCCTGACTTCGATGGTCAAGTCAAAGTAAGACTCGTCTATGCTCGCCTGCCCGATCACGCGTCGATTGCGAGAGCAAGGGTAAGCGACTGGGACTGGGTTGCGCAGGACTCGGAGAGTGACTGCGTGCACCTGCTCCACGCTACGCATTTCCCAAGGGACTGTTGACTGACCTTTTCGACTGCGCCGAGCGGCAGGCCTTGCTTGAAGATTTGCAACAGCTTTAGCGACTCTTGCCTGTACGGATCCAAGCTCACTTTGTGCGTGCTTGGATCAGGGTCGGCGTTGTAGCCTGCAACGGGCGAGCCAGGCTGGATGTATGCGCAGGACAGGGCTCAAGCACCAGTGAGCTCATCTTCTCTCGCATCTTCATAATCTGCACAGCAGGCAGCCGCAGACTCACAGCATACGTGGAGACGTGCACCAATCTCAGATCTGGACACTTTTGCTTGGCCTCTTCGATGTTCATGAAGCGCGTCACTCCTGCTCTTCGAGCGGCGTAGGAGACGGCTATGAGACCTGTCCATTGTTGCACGGCCAACGGCACCGCGTGAGGATCCAAACCTAATCGACGACCTTCGAAAGCTGCATAGGCCGCATCCACGTCACAGTGGGCAATGACGCGCAACGGGTTGCTGGGTACCAGAGAAGAGGAGGAGAGCAGATGTCGATAGGTTGCGCGTGCAAGCGTTGCGGAGGGCGCGTAGGTGTGGGGAGCACAGCCTGGCGCAGAGGCCGAGACCGGGTCTTGCTCCTCGACAGCAGTGGGTGGTGCTTGCATGGTTGTATGCTCGACGCCTTTTCTGGAGAGCTTGGCTGACTCCTTTCGAGAGCTTCGAGAGCTTGGATCGTGTGTTTTGGACCTGCACTCACGACTTTGAACATGCTTGTCCTTCACCACGCCATCCTCCGCGCACTTACAGCCACATCTCCTAAGACGCGTGTAGCAGCGCAAGAAGGCTCCTGCGAGCTTCGCTTCACTTGTATGATGTCGCAAGGGGCGAGGAGCAGATTTGAACGGCGGGGGCGGACGGGTGTCGAAGTAGTGCTACGGAAGCTCTTATTGACTCAGGATTCACCCTTCCCACTCTTCACACTTGTGGCTGCTCACTGCTTCTGACTAGTGACTCTTCTCTTCTGACTCTTCTGACTTGTATGTTCCACTGCAGAGACAGAAGCTGATGAGCATCCCTCGCTCAACTTCCGCATGGTTCTAGGTGGAGGCGTGTGTGTGCCCCTTTGCGGGGCGTGGTTCTGTGAACGGGGCGCCGGGCGCACGAGTGAGCAACACGTGTTCCTCAACGCTCATCACGTGTGATCTCCAGTTCCTCGGCCGCGTCCAAGCGCCGCGGTGTTTGCGAGCGACGCGTCCGAGCGCGGCATGCGCAGCATCAGCAGTCATGTCACGCCAGCATCCAGCAGGCTGCTGAAGACTCGTATGATGGCGCTGGCGCCTAGGTCGAGCACGCTGCATGATGCTTGCAGCTATACGATGTATGTGCTGAGGGCTATAGCCTGCATCAGCTTCCGCGGGCTTAATTGCTTTTTTCTTCATAGCGTCGCAGCGGTGCATGCGTAGAAACTCGCGCGCAGCAGCGCACTGATGCCTGGGACGGACGTCTTAATTCCTGCTGCATGCCCGCCCAGTGCAACGGAAAGTTCGCGTTTGACCGCGCGCGCGCGCGGTGTTGCTTGCTGCTGTTGCTGCTGCATGCATCGATAACAGCTCAAAGCTTGGTAGAACAGTCAGAGTCAGTGCTGTTCAAGTCTTGGTTTTCGAAAATTTGAATCCAGAATAAAGAAGCGCAGAGCACTGAAAGTCACGCGTCGGACCGGACACGCAACGCGACGCAGACTTCACAACATCATCGTCCCGCCGCGTGTCCAAGGCGCGCGTACAAGTCGTGAGAGCAGAGTTGGTGTTTATGAATCGTGCGCTACGCCAGTCTCGAGTCTGAATGAAAGTCAAATGGTGAGTGTTGCGGGCCGCGGTCATGAACTTGTGACTCTATACACACATCCACTCGCGGGCGACGATTTGAAGCGTCCATATCGCGAAGGATGACCAAATGAATGCGCTTGGTAGGACACGTACCGTCCGTACGCATCGCTGCGCGACCTTGAATTTTAAACGTCGCTAGATCTGCACCGGTCCAAACGTATATGAGCAGGTTGGGCAATGTTTGCGTGGGATGAGAGGGGAATGAGTCTTGAGTGGGACACACGGCGGGAGCGAGATGAGATATGGGCGGGCGGGCGGGGGGCGGGCCGTGTTATGGCGTGTGATCCTCATCGGACACTTGACTCTTCTTGACTCGTACTCGTACTCAAGCTACCGCGCGTACTTTCTTGCTCACGCGCGCGTGCGTGCGGCGTGCTTCTCACACAAACGCGTCCTGCTGCTGCACGCTGCAGTTGTCCCCTTTACCAATTTGAATGCATGCACGCGCGCGCGCAAGCCGGTTATGGGGTCGGTGCTGGTGTGTGTTGTTGATTCTCGCGGCACACAAGCCTGCAGCACAGCACGCGCGTCAATCGTGAATCAGCAGCACTAGCAGGTGAAGCAAGAGGCGCATGCATTCGTGATTCATTTCTCGACCCCCCTCGTGACTCTCGACGACTTCATTCCTCATTCCCCACCCCCATCATCCCATGCCGGTCCCGAGTGCGGCCTCTTGCCACACGTGCAACCATCCCACTTCTCAAGAGAAGCTTCTCACCACCACTCTGGACTCGCTTCAGCTGCCCCGTTCCCCTCCGGTTTCGGCTTGGGCGCGATCTCTGGACCTCTGTACAGGGTCTTTTCTCGACAGCATCAAACGCACAGAGCGCTCCTGACATTCATCGACAGAGCTTAGCGATCGCTCGAGGCATCATCCCGGAAGCACACAAGCCGCCGCACCAGCTTCTTGTCGAGTAGGCGCCATGTCGTACGCGCGCACGTCGGGAGGAGGTGACGTGGGAGAGCCGCCTTCTCCTGCGCCTCGACCGGCTTCATCGTTGGGTGGAGAGCTGGCTTTTCGCCCACCGCCTCGACCGAGTCAACGTCGAGGAACAGGCACCACGCCAGGTCCCAAGGTGCGAAAATCCAACGCAGAACTTGCAAGCAACGCCATGAGTCCTCTTCCCCCCGCCATGCCGAGGAGCGGAACGCTCACTGCAAACATGTCTCGCATGGCCACCGACGAGACTGCCGCGTGGACTCGGTCTGTAGCAGCTGGAAGCGATGGGGAGGAGTATTCGAGCGATGCAGAGGGCCTCATGGGCAGCGAAAACGTCTCGCCCATGGATAGCCCCACCACGTCCAGACAAGCATTCTTGTCTCGCAACCCGGCACTCGTCAGTGGAACCGGCGGTGGCAGCTTCTCTGCCAGAGGATCGCTGGATCTAGCTCCGAGCAGCACGCAAGGCCCTACACCACGTCAGACTTCTCGTCGAGAGCGCAACAGAAACGCGCCCACGGGTAGCGGTGACCAGAGCCTGGTCAACGAGCTTCAGGCGAATCTGGTCAATGAGATCAGGCGTCTCCAAGCGCTGCTACTCGAGCGCGATGGCGAGATCAGAAGATTGACAGAGGAAAAGGAAGAGACGGACAAGGAGCTGGGACAGTGGAAACCTCGAGCATTGGCTCTGATTCAGGTCGAAGGTGCGTCCAGCGGGTCCCTGACCAGGCAGACGCGCCATGTATGCGCCCAAATACTGACACGCAGGTCTGCCTACCTTCTTTCTGCAACATCGCTTGCGCAGACAAACTCACCCAAGAGAATTGGGATCTCAATGTTCAGCGCGACGAGCTCGAAGGCGAGCTGACCGAGCACAGAGGCGCGCTCAAAAAGTCCGAGGACGACCGAATCAAGGTGACAAAGGAACGTGACGCGCTGCGCGGAGAATCGGAGTCCCAAGTAGCAGAGCTTGAACAGCTTCACGAGGAATTGAAAAATCTGAACCAGTCGCGCGAAAAGGAGACTGCAACTGCGCGCCAGGAGATGGCTGGCATGGCGAGGCAAGTAAGCGAACTCAACCTGGCGCTCAGTAAGGCCAAAGAGGATGGAGATCGGCCAAACTTTAGCAGGAGCTTTAGTCGCAGCATGCACCTTGGCAACGAGAGTCTGGAAGCGAGCACGGACGAGGAGAATCTGCGCGAGGCTGCATCGAACAAAAGGCGCGCTGCTTTGGAGAGCGGCAACGTCCCAGCATCGCCTGGAAGCGCTTACGAAGATGAGCTCGCCGCTGCGACCTCGCCACTGGCTGGTCGACTCAGCAAAGATGGAAACGTTTCCGAGCTGCGCCAAAAGCTTGCCATGGCTCACAAAAAATCTTCAAAGGACACTCTCGACAAGCGTCGCTTGCGGGAGCAGAATGAAGAGCTCCGACAATTGCTCACCAAGGCTGGTCTCAAGGCACCCGGAGCTAGCGATGTGGAGAGCAGCGACGAGGACGATGCCGCGTTGTGGGACGATCAGTCTGTCGAGCACAGCCCTTCGGCCAAGCGTGGCAAAGCGCGAGGCGTGCCCAAAAGCAGCACAGGTCGCAACATTGCATCTCGTCTTGGTATCGGTCTTGGACGTCCTTCCAGATCTGCACATGACCAGACTGTCGATGACGAAGATGAGGCCGGACAAGTGGACGACGAAGTGGCGGAGATGCCAGCATCGTCGAGCTCCGGGCTCAGACGAAGCGCTCGTCGTGCCAATGTTCCTCGAAATGTCAGCTTTGGTACGGGAAGCCCTCTGGTCGAGACCGCGTACCTGCCTGGCGAAGACGAGCACGACGCTTCTTCTACTGGCCACTCAACAGAGCAATGGCACGGCACAGAACGAGCAGACACGTCCGTCGTCGATCCACTTCCGCGTCCTCCATCCATGGTCCTCGCCGGCGAGACGCTCGGAGACGAGCTCGAAGGCTTGGGTGACGATGCTGATCGCGCTGGCGGGACCTCCTTCATCGGCGATGAATCTCTTGCTCGCGACCTGGCTTCTGCTCAGCAAGTCACACGCTCCGTCAGCGGACCGTTGCCTCCTGCTGCGGACGACAAGAACATGCAGACTGATGCGCAGTCCAGCGCGTTGGCCGACGAGCTCGCGAAGAAGGAACGCGAACACGCTGCAGTGGTGGAGGAGCACACGAAGACGCTCTCTGCTATCCGCGACGCGCATGCTCAGGCCCTCGAGCAGCGCGATTCGGCCCTCGAAAAGCGCGATCGAGATCATGCAGCCGCTGTGGCGGAGCAACTCGCTGCGCTTGCAGCTCTTCGCGAGGAACACGCCAATACCCTCAATCAGCGCGACACAGACCACAGCAAGCTCTTGGCGGATCGTGAAAATGCGCACAAAAGCGCGTTGAGCGAGCTGGTCGCTCAGCACGCCAAGGCGCTCGACGAGCGCGAAGCGGCTGCCGAGCGCGCTGTCGCTGACAAGGAAGAAGAGCACGTCAAAGTCCTGTCTGCTGCGTTGGCCAAGCAGAATGATACCCACAAGGTGGCTTCTGAAGAAGCGCGCACTCGACATGCCAAGGCGCTCGCAGAGGAAGTCGCCAAGGGCGCACTGACGCTCAAGGCTGCTGAAGAAGCCCACCGCAAGCTGGTTTCTGAAACGAAAGACTCTCACAAACGCGCGATTGACCGGCTTGAAGCGGACCACGACAAGGCGCTCAAGAGCAAAGATGGCAAGCATGCCAGCCAGATCGAAGACCTCCATTTGTCTCACGATGCCTATGTGCGAGACCTGGAGCAGGCATTCAATCGAAACCTTCGAGAGCGCGACGAGATCATTCGCAAAAGTCGCGAGGAAGTCGAGAAGATGCGCGAGCGCTTGTCGACGCTCGAGAACGAGCTCGAGCGACTGCGCAGAGAGATTCAGGCCAGCGCTGCAGCTATTTTGGCAGCCGAGAGCGCCAAGCGCGAGCTTGAACATTCAGCTGAGGAGACCAAAGCGGAGCTGGAAGAGGCACGGGCGATCATCGCCACTCACAATGAAAAAGAAGACGATGCATTTGAAGATGCCTCCGAGGCTCCTTCGCTCAGCCCCAATCGTACCGCGCTCGAGCTGGACGACGGCAAGCATGACGCAGCTGTCGCCATGGACAGGAGCGGCACGGAACAGTCCACCCAGACCCAGAGCGAGGTCGACTCGCCCCCCACGCCTGCCGACATTGAAGCCTTCCCATCTCCGCCTGCTGCAAAGGCTCGCGAACTCAAAGAGTCTGCTGCACAAACGGATCACGAGATGTGGGCAAGGGTTCAAGAGACGCAACTCACACGAGCTGGTCTTCCCATTCCCAACAACGTCTTGATGCTCGGCGGCGGTGCTGCCCATCAGCACGTGCGCGATTCCGTCTCCACCTTTGGCGGCAACCGAGATGGCACTCGTATCGATCCGACATCCTCCACGATGATGTACACTGTGGGTGCTTTGACGCGTCAACAAGCTGCAGCTAGCGTTAGCAGTCGCCGTCCATCCATGGACTCGACCATCTCAACCGATGCTCGCTTTGCCAACCCCAACGAAGTCGCGTTGGGCCAGATCCCGGATCGCAGCAAGCCTCCAGTGATGGATGTGCCTCCTCCACCGAGCATGCCTCCTCCTGCGAACCTTCCTAATCGTCCCACTCCTCGAGGACGTACGTCCACTTCCAACAGTGCACAAGACAAGCCCCCAGCTCGCCCTACGTCGCCCCCTCCAGCCGAGCTGGTTGCTGCTGCTGGACGGCGAGGCAGTACTCTTCAGGTTCCGCCCGGAGAACGCGATGCCCTACCGGCCCGCTCCGCAAGCCGCGCTTCGGGTTACAGCGGAGCAGCTTCGAGCAATGCGATGGCTAGCACGGACTCGACAAGCAGAGGGGCGCCCAACGGCCCTCATTCGCGCATCGCTTCCAACCAGCACTCGGCGCCGGGCGATGCGGCGAGCGTGGCCAGTCGTCGAAGCCGCGTGTCTGCGTCGAACCTGGCTCAGCAGCATTTGCGGGCACCATCGGGAGGATCTTTCCGCTCAGACGTGACTTCGATGCTTAGTCCGCGGATGTCTATCGCTTCGTCCAGAGCCTCAGAATACGTTGATGCTCGGAACCCAGGTACTGGTGCAACAGGTCCAAGCAGCACCAAGGGCATGCCTCCCGGTACGGACCCAGAGGTCATTGCCGCCATCACTCAAACGATGATTGGCAACTATATGCACAAGTATGTCCGTCGTGGGCTAGGCAGGACGGGTCTATCAGACAAGCGCCATCAGAGGTACTTTTGGCTGCATCCCTACACCAAGATGCTGAGCTGGACAATGACCGATCCCGGAGGTAAAGGAGTGCAGGAAAGCACCTACAAGAGCGCAGTCATCGAGGACATTGAAGTGGTTGAGGACAACAACCCAAGTCCGCCTGGACTGTATCACCTCAGCATCATCGTCAAGACTCCTGCTAGGGACATGAAGATTACCGCTCCTAATCGCGAGCGACACGAAATGTGGGTCTCTGCTCTGGGCTACTTGACCAGTCGAACGCAGCTGCAGGCCAACGCTGGTCTTGGTCGGGTGCAGAACGGAAGGGGCGGCGCGTCCACGCTCGCCATGCAGCCTAACCGCGCAGACGAGGCGGATCCTGATCGGCCGGCTTCTAGACGCGAGCGAGTCAGCTCGAGCCGCGCTGCTTCGATCACTTCTCGCCGTCTGCTCTCTCCTAGACGCAGCATGGCCTCGCTTGGCGCGGGAGCACGTACGCGCTCGGAAAACATCCTCGACACGGGGGACAACACCGAGACCACCCCTCGACCTCGCGCTGGTACGATTGGTGCTTCGTCCATTCTTAGCAACAAGCGACGCGATACGGCAGCTCACGAATACCTCTCGCAGTGGGGCGAGGTGGGAAGGAACAATGGTCCATCTAGTCCGTCTAGCTACGGCAAGTCATCCCGCAAGAGTTTTGGCCACTCGCGCAATCTCGCATCTGATCTTTACGGAGAAAGCTCTCAGTACAGACCATCTTCGCGCACGAGTTACGCAGCGCCTGCGGATCCTCGTCTGCAGACTGCCGAGCAGATGCTGGAGGAGGATCAAGAACGTGGAGGGTATGATGGGCTGGAAAATGTCCGAGCCTGCTGCAACGGAGCTCACGATGTGGGCGAGCTGGCGCATCGCAAGTACAAGGAAGACTTGCGAAAGAAGAGGGAGAAGGAGTATCGCGACCTTGCGCGCACGCACAGGGAAGCTAGCGGTACGGCCAGTATCCGCTCTCGACACTCTAGGCAGGGCAGTCAAGGAAGCTCGGTTGCAGGTGGAGGCATCAAGAGCTGGAGAGATACGCTGAAACGAGCTCCTAGCGGCACCTCCACAGTGGCATCGCGCAACGAGCCTGCCACCAGCAGCTCTCCGCCCCAGCTCGGACCCTTGAATCTGAACACGCCGCTGGAAAAACGCGGCAAGCAGACTTCGAGCAGCCAGGGCAGCAAGAGTCCAGGCATCTTTTCCGCCATGACGGGTCAAAACGCTGCGCCTCGCGCTAGCGTCAACAGTAGCGCCGAGCAGCCCATGTCTGCCAGGACCTCCAACTCGGCGGAATGGTACTCTAGCCCGGAAGATTTGGCCGCCTTCATCGAGATTGGCGAGCCTCAAGTTGATGCGTCGGCCAAGACGACAGAGTTTGGATCGAGCGCTGGCAGCGCTACGCCCACCGCCAGGGATACCAACACGTTTTCCCAAAGAGTCAGCGCGATCAGAAAGAGCGCTGGCACATCTTCCAAGGCGTAATCAGGTACCGCATCTCGACCCTCAAAAGAAAAGGCTGCTGCGACGAACGTTTGCCGGTCACCGTGATTGAGAAGTCCCCCGCTCTCATGCACATCATTCACTATATGCCCGTCCTTCTTCATCTTCTCGTGACTACACCAACTGCATGTTTGTCTTTCTCCCCTTCACAACCATTCACCTTCTTTTTCTTCTTCTGCACGCACACTCGAGTATGTTCCCACCCCCTTCCGTTTCTCTACGCTTTGTGACGATGATCAAACTCTCAACATTGCCACGCGCCGACAAGACATGCCCTACGCCATCTGTCAAGCGGTGTGATTGCGCTTTCAAGTCGGTCTTGAGGAGCGCGTGCGAGGTGCGAGGAGCGAGGTGCGAGGAGCAAGGAGCGTGTCTGACTGCTACGCTGAGGGGCAAGAGCGAGCGCACGTGCTAAATGTGCACCTGTCTGGAAATGCCAATTTGAAAAGTGGGCTCGTCGTTCGCAGATGTGCGGAACGCGGCAGGGGAAGGAATACTGTGCAAGCCAGCCCTCTTGATAGCCATGAAAGCCTTTTGAGCCAAGAAGGAATGCGCTCTGGTCTGTGGCGTCGGTAGGAGAAGCATGTGTGTGTGTGTGTGTGAGCGAAGCGCTGGGTTGCTGTGCGCCTGCATGTCTATGAACGGGGATATAGGAACGCCGGGGCGCACCACGATCTGACCTGCGCGGACTCACGGTGGGATGATATAGATCCCAAAAGAGGTGCTGGTCTGGCTCGGCACACAGAGATCGAGGAGCTTCGCCATAAGCCCCCACGAGGCACGGCTTGTCCGTCACTTTGAACGCGTCTCCACCGCCCAGCGTCGAGTCCACGTCGCCGTCGAAGAGGACGATGCGGAGCAGGGGATGAGCGCGTAGGTACGCTTTTGCGCGCTTTTGCAGAGCAAGGTGAAGAGCTTTGGAGTAGGCGCTGAAGGAGGCTTGTACGGATGGAGAGGAGGCGGAAGTGTATGGTAACGCGTCCAGTTTGGGGCCGTATGGGATGATGAAATGGATGGCGCCTACAGCGGAATGTGGAAAGAAGAAGAAGAAGCATGAGCCTAGCCAATATCAGTGGTGTGCTTGCGCCCCGACCCGCATCTAGACTCACCGGCTTTGCGAAGCGCCTCGACGGCCTGCATCAATCTCTTCGCGCTGCCCTCCGCAAATTTCTCGGGCGATTCGAAAATGGGCGTGCCGATGGCAAAGAAAATGTCGTTCAAGCCTCCGCTGACCAAAAAGAGCTTCTTGGCATTGCTGATGTGAATGCTGCCTCGCTTGGAGGACAGATAGGTGTCGATCTGAGCAAATACGTCGGGTACGGGAATGGTGCTCTTCGGACCAGTATACCCTTGCACTCGCGTATTGTCGATCGTAGCGCCTCCGTACGACAAATCCCTCAACCCCTGGTCCGTGATCGGCCCGCTTGGTGAGCGAGAGAAGAGCGAGCGAGCGAGATATTCGACGTAAGTAGGACCGTTGGAGAATCGACCATTGAAGTAGGCTGGATCAGCAGGCCAGGTCTTGTTAGTGAGCAGATAGGAACCGTTGCCATTGTCCGTCAGCGAGTCCTGCAGGCGTAGAAATCCCGGGGGGGAACAGACGCGTGCGTGGATCATTTCACGTCAGCCAGAGGGCACACTGCCGGGGCCGTAGAATGCGCGTCACTCACACCAAAGTTGACGAGCTCGGTGATTACGCCAAGCTTGACAGGTTTGGCGCTGGCAAGGGACGCCAGAGCGAGAGCGCCGAACACGAGCAGAGGGACTGAGCAGCGCATCGTCGGGGCGAACCTGCTTGACGTACGCGCGATTGGCGAGAAATGCACCGCGCCGTGTAGGAGATCTCAATGTGGTGCGCGTGGAAATTGACAAACTGGAATAAGCAACGCACTCGAAAGGAATGAAGGTGTGACGAGTGCGGAGCGCTACGCAGAAGAGCGAAGGAGAGAGAGAGAGAGAGACCCTCGAGCTTGTCGTTCAAATGCTTTTGACGCTGCTTTCAGAAGGGACTACTCTTCCGCCTACCAAACGGCGCAGTCCTGAACCGGCGGGGAATGGTGGTGGAGCGCAAAGTTCAGCTGTGACCTTGACCATGCAGCTATCGATCGAGCGACAGTATGAGGCGAGGCTTTCTGCTGACTCGCACTTTTACATGCCACTCACGACTGCCGTCAGAATAGCGCTGTGTTCGTCTGTTTCTTCTGAAATGCTTTGGCATTCATGCCGCTGCAAGAGGGCGTGTTGGGGCCGCGTGATGGATGGATGGATGGATGAGTTAGTGCATGGATGATGGTACCTTTATCATACATGCGCGCATGCACATGCATCTGCTGTCTCACATTCACATTCACATTCACATTCACATTCACATT